CCATCCACCCATCTATCCATCTATCCATTCATCCATCCACTCATCCATCCATCCATCCATCCATCCATCCACTCATCCATCCATCCATCCATCCATCCACCCATCCACCCATCTGTCCATCCGTCCATCCACCCATCTATCCATCTATCCATCTATCCATTCATCCACCCACCCATCCATCCATCCACCCATCTATCCATCCACCCATCTATCCATCTATCCATTCATCCATCCACTCATCCATCCATCCATCCATCCATCCATCCATCCACCCACACATCCATTCACCCATCCACCCATCTATCCATCTATCCATCCATCCATTCACCCATCCCACCCATCCACCCATCCTTGCAGCTTTGTGCAGGGTGACCCTCGCAGGGCTCAGCCCTCACCCTGGTTCTCCTCCTTTGGCAGCAAGACGCAGAGGTGAACCTGCGGAAGGCCAAGCAGGTGTACATGCAGCGCAGCGAGGAGCACGAAAAGGCCAAATATATGGCAGTGAGAGCAGAGGAGGAGCAGCAGAGCACCGCCAGCAACGTCACCACCAAAACCCTGGACAAGAAGAGGCGGCTGGAAGAGGAGGCCAAGAACAAGGTGGGTGCCCAGCAGCTCCGGGCACGGCTTTGCTGGGCTCTTTTTGCTCCTTGGCGCATGAGGCAGAAGCACAGGGGCTGAAAGCTCACCCTGACCTCACACACAGAGCAGCTCCAGCACAGGGAGGCAGCTCCCATCCCATTCCACACCTCTGAGCAGCTTCCATCTCCCCTCTCCCACCCCTCAGGCAGAAGAGGCCATGGCCACCTACCGGACCCTCGTGGCAGATGCCAACACGCAGAAGCAGGAGCTGGAGGACACCAAGGTGAACTCCCTGAGACAGATCCACGAGCTGATCAAACAGAGCGACCAGGTCATCAAACTGGTGAGTTGGGAGTGCTGGGAGGGCTGGGAGGGGGTCCAGAGAGCTCCACAGAGCCAAGGGCTGCATCCCCAGCCCCACTCAGCACTCCTAATTCTCCACCTGGCAGTGGATTCTCCTCCCCCTAACTCCTGCCCTGACTTTCTCCCCGTTGTTTTTAGGCCACCATCGCCTTCTATCAGATCATGCACATGCAGACAGCGCCGCTGCCCGTTTATTTCCAAACTCTGTGTGAGAGCAGCAAGCTGTACGACCCCGGGCAGCAATACGCCTCCCATGTCAAGCAGCTGCAGCGAGGGGATGAACCCGACACGCAGTACGACTTCGAGCCCTACGTGTCCCACAACGCCTGGTAGGAGAGGAGGGGGAAATCACTGCTCCTCTGCACCAACCTCAGCTGCAGGGAGGGTTCCTGCAGACAGAGGCTGCTTGGTGCGGGAGCGGAGGGCTTCCATCTCAGCTCTGGTGGATAGCAGCTACTTTTGGAGTGGATTTTCTAGCATCCCTACATCCTCTTGGACACGGCCCTTCTCCTCCCTCCCCATCACCAGGTCCCCCTTCACCCGCACACGGAAGGGCAGCTTCAACGCCAGCGACTTCTCCACGAGTGGTGGCTCTGATGGGGCTGGGCTGCCCAGGGATGGGAGCAGCACAGATGGACCCAGAGAGACCCAGGGTGGGACGCTGGCAGAGCGCAGAGGTGAGAAAAGCCCAGCCCTGAGCAAATGCTTCTGGTATCAGAGCTGCTCTGTGTGGCATCCCTGAGCACGGGGACAGCCCCAAACGGCCAGCCCTCCTTCCCACAGCAGGGAGGGGACACCAGGTGCACAAATCCTGGCCGACCACCTCCGAAGCTGACAGCAGCCTGGATTCCAGCACAGGTGGGTGCAGAACCTGGGCTGTCCTTCACCTTCTGGTAGAACCCACCTGAAGGCAGCACCTCACTGCCAGGCAGCAGCAGCACTGTCTTTTTTCTTTCATTTTTCCTTTTTATCTTTTCCTTTTTACCTTTTCCTTTTTCTTTATATCTTTTTCTTCCCTCCCCTCCCTCCCCCTTCCCTTTCTTTTCCTTTTCCTTTTAGCTTTCCCTAAGAATTAAGACTCCACCACAGGCAACTGCTGATCCCAACCTATTGGGATGGGATGGGATGGGATGGGATGGGATGGGATGGGATGGGATGGGATGGGATGGGATGGGGACCACCAAACCTGTGCTGCACCCATGGGAAGGTGCAGCTCCCGCAGCCCTTGTTTCCTCTAGCAATCCCTCTCCCCAGCTGCAGGAACCCAACGAGCACAGAAACCCTTCTGTTTCATCTCTCTTCACTTCCAACCTTTCTCTTCCAAAGGTCATCTTGTTGTCCTGCTCCACCTCCACTCCTTGCTGCAGGGACAGCCACAAGCCCCCAGAATCCGCTCCCCCTTCCCCACCACCACCCCTCCCAGCTCTCAAACCAAGCTTTGCTTTGGCAGGAGAGTTCAGCCACAAACTGCAACGCTTGTCATCCAATGGCACCATGTCCTCCAGCGAGGAGCTGGGAGAGAAGGATGAGAACGCTGCATCCTTTGAGCAGAGTATGTGATGGAGTGGAGATGTGCTGTGCTGTGTGGGGTCTCTGCTGTCCCCCCCTTCTGCTGGGAGGAGAGCTGAAACACCAACGAGTCCATGGGGAGCACAACACCATTCCCACTAGGCAGGGACGGACCCTGTGCAAAGCAGTGGCAACAGCCCTTGGTTAGCTGGAATGTGGCCCAACGCCATGCGTGGCAGCATGTCCCATGTGTCCACATGTCCTGTGTGTCCGTGTGTCCCCAGTCCCATGTGTCCGTATGTCCCAGCATATCCTGTGTGTCTGTGCATCCCTTATGTTTACGTGTCCCATGTGTCAGCGTGACCCCACGTGGCTCAGGTGTCTGCACGTCCCACGTGTCCGTGTGTCCCATGTGTCCGTCTGTCCCATGTGCTGGCATTCCAGGGCCCCACATGACAGCGATCCTTCTGCTCGAGCCTCACTCTGCCTGACCTCTAAGGAGACAGAATGCTGACGTGTCCCTTTGTGCCCTTCCTATAGGCATCAATGGGATCACCCCAGAGATGGCAGCACCCACGGGACCCTTCCGGAACGTGGGTTTGTCCAGGGCAGCCCAGACCCACCGGCTGAGGAAGCTGCGGACCCCCTCCAAATGCAGGGAATGTAACAGCTACGTGTATTTCCAGGGGGCAGAATGTGAGGAGGTAATGCTGGGGATGTGGGAGGATTGGGGAGGTGCCCACAGCTCTGCACAGCGCTGCCACGTGTGCCTTCCCAGCCCCGCTGCCTCCCACCTCCGAGCCTTTCCTTGTCTCCCAGTGCTACCTGGCGTGCCACAAGAAGTGCTTGGAGACCTTGGCCATCCAATGTGGGCACAAGAAGCTCCAGGGGAAGCTGCAGCTTTTTGGGCAGGACTTCCTGAAGGCGTCTCAGGGCAGCGCTGATGGCATCCCCTTCATCGTCAAGAAGTGCATCTCTGAGATTGAGAAGCGGGCGCTGAAAACCAAGGTGAGCCCTCTGCCCTCCCCTCTGCTCCAGCTGCTTGCCCTCCAGACGGGCTCTGTCCTGCTGTGAGAACCCAGCACAGCCCTCAGGTTCTGAGATAGGAGCCACGAGGTCCCAAAACAAAACAAACTGACACGTCCTGCACTCCCTCTCTTCCCTACAAAAGGGGAACAGCAGCGATGTCTGAGCTGCAACAGCTCCTCCAAACCTCCTGAGAGGGATTTCCACCCTTGGAGGAATGGATGGGAGCCGAGAGCTCGTGCAAACCCAAAGAGAAACGTTCAGCTTTGGTTTTCTCCCCTTGGCAGGGCATCTACAGGGTGAACGGTGTGAAGACCCGCGTGGAGAAACTCTGCCAGGCCTTTGAGAACGGGAAGGAGCTGGTGGAGCTTTCCCAGGCATCCCCACACGACATCAGCAACGTGCTGAAGCTCTACCTGAGACAGGTTGGGGAGGAGGGGGGGGTGAGGGTAGAGGTGATTCCCGGTGATCCCAGCAATTTGTGTCTGGAGGGGGAAATCCTGCTGCAAACTGGGCTGACAGCTGCCTGCTGGTGGGTCAGAGCCCCTCCTATCCAGGCTGGCCCGATGATGGAGGTGTGTGCAGGAAGGGCTCTCCTCCAGCTGCAATCTCACTGCACATCTCAGGGCAGCTCTACGTGTCTGCCTCCAGCGAGCCCTGGCACAGCATCAGCTGCAGCAGCAACGTCCCTGCCCACGGCAACGCAACGCCAAGCGCTGCACCGTCCCTCCCCTTTGCAGCTGGGGAAGCGGCAGGAAAAAGGGAAGTGGCCGTAAAGGTCAGCCTGCAGCTCGCTTCTCCCAGCCTGCAGCACCGTCTCTGCCATCAGCTCAGTCCTGCACCGAAACGCAAACCCCGACCCACATCCTCAAACGGGGCAGGAGGAGAGGAAGCAGCTTCTGTCTGCAGCCTCACGGCTTAACCCTTTGTGCTGGAGGCAGAGGAGGCTTCTCCCCACGTCCCCACACAGCAAAAAAGGGGCTGTGAGCTCCTGGATCGGGAGAGCAGAGAGCAAAGAGAGGAAGAGATCGGCCCCGTGCTGCGATCCGGGCTCAGCGCACTGCAGAGCAATCGGTTTAAAGTCCCTGTGCAGGAGTTCTGCTCTGCTGCAAAGCAATCCATCCCCAGCAGGCATCTGGGGAAGGCGCTGCAGAACTGCCAGGAGCTGCATGAATGCACTCAGGTTGCTTTATGCAAACTACAAAGCAAAACGCTCCTCCTGACGGCCCCGGCGCTGCAGGCTGCGCTGATTTCTTCTCACCTCCTCCTCCTCCCGGGGAGCAATTAGCACCGTCCTATTTAACGAGCTCTTATCTATAGGGAAAGCGCGCACACACCGCAGGCTGGGTTGTTTGTTTGTTTGGTTGGTTGGTTGGTCTTTTTTTCTTTTTTCTGAAGGGAAAAAGCGCATTCTCCATCTGGAGACCTGAAGGGTTTATCTCGCACTGTTCTCCCCGCAGCTGCCCGAACCCATCGTGCCGTTCCGGATGTACAACGCGCTGATGGGAGCAGCCAAGGAGAGCCTGCAGGGAGGCACTGAAGCCAAAGGGAGGAGTGGGAAAGGGGGTCCGGAGCTGGTAGACAAAGGAGCCGACACCGACCGAGTGGTGGTGAACCTGGTGCTGAAACTGAAGGAGCTGCTGAAGGAACTCCCGTGGGAAAACAGAGCCACGCTGCAGTACCTCCTGGAGCACCTGAGGAGGTGAGGAGGGCGGTCCGGGCTGAGGGGCTGTCACTTCTGTCCCCGCGGTGGGATGGGAAAGGGGCGCAGCCGCCGCCTGCTCTCATGGATCTCCTCATCCAGGATCGTGGAGGTGGAGCAGGACAACAAGATGACCTCCAGCAATCTGGGCATCGTCTTCGGGCCGACGTTGCTGCGGCCACGACCCACGGATGCCACCATCTCTCTGTCCTCGCTGGTGGATTACCCCCACCAGGCACGCGTCATCGAGGCGCTCATCATCTTCTACCCCACCGTCTTTGAGGACAAGGACAGCACGCTGACTGCTGACGACAGTGAATTCACCCCGGTATGGGCTGTGGGGAGGGAGCAGCAAGGGGGGGGGGGGCATTAGGTTGGCCTTATGTGCTCCCCCCTCACATGGATCCCTCCAGCAGGACGAGCCCACGGCCGCTCCGTGCCCACAGCCCCCGGGGAAGGGCGACCTGGGGTACAACGTGGGAGCTTTTGGGGGTGAGTGAGGGGTCTGGGGCGGTGCGAAGGGCTGCAAGGAGGGCTCTGGGTTCTCACTGCTGCCCCAAGCCTTGGGGACAGCCAACCTCCTCATCGCTGTGAGGGGCTCGGGGATGAGGCAGCGCAGCGGCAACTTCACACCTTCATACGGACCCACAGAGCCCAGCGAGAGGTCGGTGGATTCTGACTCAGAACTGGAGGACGGCGGGGAGCCGGGGGGCAGCGGGCAGCTGAGAAAACAGGAGAGTGAAACGAGCACGGATGAAGCTCCGTTCTACGAGGAGGGCAGCGAGGGGCAGCGCAGCCGCACGTGCAGCACCGGGCAGTCGGACACCGAGGGCTCTGCGCTGCGCTGCACTGCAGGAGAGCACAGCGACCCCGAAGAGGAGCCTGAGAGCATTGCCACCGCTGCAGCTCAGCAGTGAGAGCAGCCCCAGGCAGTGATGGCTCAGCTGATGAAGCTCGAGTTGCTGCTTGTGCACAACGACGGGCATTTTGATGTTCGGCCCTCCCCGCGTTGCACGGTCTCAGGGTTTTTTGGATGTGTGTTTGATCTCCAAAATCTATGCTGTGAGGGCAGCGGGGGGAGATGCAGGATGCCTGAACCAAGCTAGCAGCCCTCTCCACCGTGAGCTTTTTGGCTTTTTGTTTTGTTTTGTATAAGGTAACCCTTCAATGCAAACCCACTACCTCTGCTGGCAACGGAACTCGAAGGGTTAAAGAGGACCAAAGTGGTTTTTAAAGTTATGAAACTTTTCTGCACTGAAGCATAGAAAAAAAAAAAAAAAAAAGAGCTTAGAAAGAGCTGAAAGCTGCTTTCCTTCCACCACTCTGCTCATATCCACACTGCTCCCCACTGCCTTCAGAGGCCAGGAGCCCAATAGGTCCAAAGAAACTGCACGTATCCGAAGCTGTTCTCTAATACTCAGACCATTCCTCAGTGAAATGCTGGGTACTCCCTCACCTCTTGTGCCACCTCCTCCTGTCTCAGTCCTCTGCTGCAGGCAGGGAGGGCATCCATGCAGACCAGGCAGCAAAGGGAGAGCTGGGACTGCTTTCCAGCCAAGGAAGCCGAGCAGAGCGGCGTCCCAGCTGGAGATGCACTGAACTGGAAGGATTAACAGAGCTCATTAATGGAGGATGAGGTGATGGAGAGGAGGTGGGATCCCTTTGGAGGATCATCTCCACCAGGAAGAGCGGGCTGCTAACGGCCACAGCTCTCAGACAAATCAGAAAAGCATCTCAACACAAGAGATAAAAAGGTACACGAAACCAAAGTTCCATTTACAGCCAACTGGTTTGTAACTGAGCCAAAGGAGAGCTCCAGATACCTGGGGGCACATCTGCTCCAGAGCTCTTCGCCACGACGCCGCTGGATCCTTCCAGCACATCATTCTCATGGCAGCAGGAAAATGAAGCTGAGTGCCACCTGTTGCTACCAGAACTGCTACTGCAGCGGTACCACGAGTGCGTGCGAGGATGGATGATGGTGAATGAGAGTGAAGGAAGGGACAAAAGCAATGCTTGAGCTTCACATGGTACCGAGCGCCCTTCTATTTGTATATAAAGTCAGCATGGAGAAAGGAAAAATGTTCTTTTGTGACAATGCCTGTGCTGCTGTATGAAGCTGCATTCTGTGTTTTGCTGCGTTCAGACTGTTGTGCTTCCAGAAAGAATAAAATCCCTGTGTTCTAACTGCTGTCTGTCCTGGAGATCAGTGCCTTCCACACTCATGTGCCCATGGGTTCCAAGCACTGTAAGGAAGCACTTCAAGTACTTCTAAGAAGTAAACTAAAAACCCTCTGCAATATCTGATAAGCAGGGTCTCAGAACGAGGGTCAGAGGTAGAACAGTGAGGTAAGGCTGAACCACAGAACTCGAGCAGCAACAAATCCCACAGGGAATGGCACATACAGAATTGCTCATGGCCATACAGCTCTGATACAGGAAAGGGCTGAGAAAAGCAGAAACAGTGAAAAACAGCAAGAGTACAAACCTTTATTAAAAATAAGATCTCACAGAACAGGGTAGCAAAAGCCTCTTTCCACTCATTTCTTCCCTGTGTAATTCAGTTGCTTCAAGGTGCTTTCATGGCATTCCTTAATGAAGCAGAAGGATTTGCAGCAAAATCCGTGCTGGAAAATGAGGAACTGGGCCAAAGAACTGCAGAGAGGCAGCAGGGACAGAGAACTTCCTCAGCCATCAAACACAGACAGCTCAGAGAGCTGTGAGCTGTCGGTGGGTGGGAAGATCAGATGTCACAGAACAGTTTCACATCTGGAAGAAAGAACTCAGGATGAGTTCACGGCTCCCTCAGCAGATCCCTCTCAAGGCAAATCCTCACTGCTGCCCTGAACTGAGAGATGTGCCTTCAGCAATGGTACTGAGGCACCAGACCAGTACAGCCTTGCTCTGATCCATCCCACACAGTTCCCTACACAAATCATTTACACCATTTGGAGGGAATCCTTTCCCAGAATCAACTCACTTCAAGTCACCTCTGGAAAGCCACAGCATAAGCTTAAAGCACTGCCCAAAGATGGGGATTTCACACATTACCTGAGAGCTCTGATCACTGCACCAGCCTGTAGGTGATGTAGCGGCCCGCAGTCTCGCTCGGTCTTATGATCTTCACCACCTGGAAGGCCAGCAGAAGGAACACTGGGGGATGGTTGGTGTTGCCAGCTGGTTCAGCAGGCAGCCAAGCCTGGCCCCAAGGCTATCTGCTGGTTTGCACACTACCTAATCCATAACATTTAGGAAATAAAGAAACTAAAAAAGAGGAAAACCTTTCCCATCGCCAAGCTCTGAAATACTGTGCTGCTACAGCTACCCTGCCTGCAGGGCCCTGCTGTTTGTTATCAGGCTGTTTTCTCTTACCTGGCCTCTCTTTATCCCAAAGTATCTGGCCACGGGATCCCCAGCCTGGATCCTGGGGAGTTGGTTCTCCCTCAGCTTACTGCGTGGAGTCAAGGAGGAGCTCTGCCAGAACCCAGGATTCTGTTTGTCCCAAGGCAGGGCACAGCCAACAGAACATCATATGCTCCTACAGTCTGAGGTGTTCATTTTTGACCCAAGGCAAGCACTCATCACACCCTGTCAGGAAGGGAAGGACCAAACAAAGGATACTATCTGGCCAGCAGCTCGGTTACTTCTTCTTTTGTCATGACAACGTGCTCTGGGACCAGCTGTAAGCAGCAGGAGAGAGATCACAAGATAAGACAAACCAAGAAAGCAACCACCTCTCCACAGCTGCAAGATGAGCCATTTGTGGTAAGGAATAAAGCTCCAGCAGTGCCACCCAGCACCGGGTGGGGATGAAAGGGACGCCCTGCACTGCTCACCTCATGTTCAGTGATGTTGATCAGGAGCTCCTGCTGCAGAAACTGCTCCAGAATGTATTTGGGAGCCATATCGACCAGGGACTGGGAAGGAAGAAGCACAATATGCTGCAGCACTGCTGTGGGACAGCCTCAATGTGACTGCTCAGCACTGCCCCAAAGTGAGCAGCAGCACCAGGAGGGGCAGCACGGTGTTTGTGCTCACACTGACAGTCACACAGGCAGACAGCAAACAGATCTGTGCCCCCTGACTGTTCCAGACAACCTCACCATAAAGAAGCTCTTGTGCAGAACTTCCTATGCTGCAGTTTCTGGCCGTTTCCCCTTGTCCTGTCTCCACACACTGCTGAAAACAGTCTGGCCTCGTCGCCCTGCCCCCCACACCTCAGATATTTATAGACCTGGATCAGGTCCCCTCTCAGACTTCTTCTCTCAAGGCTGAACAGACCCAGCTCACTCAGCCTTTCTCCATAGGGGAGATGCTCCAGGCCCTTCACCATCTTCGTGGCTCTCCGCTGGGCTCTTTCCAAGAGATCCCAGTCCTTTTTGTACTGGGGAGCCCAGAACTGGACACAGTACTCCAGGTGAGGCCTTACCAGGGCAGAGTAGAAGATGAGGATCAGCTCCCTCAACCTGCTGGCCACGCTCTTTTCCATTCACCCCAGAATGCCATTGGCCTTTCTGGCCAACAAGGGCACAGTGCTGGCTCACGGCCGACCCATCGTCCACCAGGACACCCAGGTCCCTGCCTGCAGAGCTCCTCTGCAGCACCTCATCCCCCAACCTGCACCAGTGCGTGCAATTATTCCTCCCCACATGCAAGACTCCACACTTGCTTTTGTTAAACCTCATCTGGTCGCTCTGATTCCACGCACCGAACGCTGAGCAAACCCAGCATTTAAGGCACAGAACCTTTAGTAAGAGGTTCTCTCTGCACAAAAACTCCGTGTTTATGGAAGCAGGGGTTCAAACAGCCCCGGGGCCGCATTGCACCGCACCTGCTTGGCCGAGGGGGTCATTCCCTGCTGCACCACGATCAGCGCACGCGTGATGTTCTCCTCCTGCATGCGCTGGCAGTACATCTTGATGGTTTTGATGCCGACTTTGGGCTCCTCTGCATGAGAAACAGCGCCGGGTGAGGCCGAACCCGGCGATCAAGCGGTAACTGCGGGTCCCAACCCGGTCACTACAACTCACCAGGAAAAAAAACGAACATCTGGTCGGTCGGATCGTCGTTGTGAGCCACCAGCACCGTCAGGTCGGTGCGGCGCGGGCGGCCCTCGCTGGGTTTGTCCCCGAATTGGGCCTTGAATTCCTCCAGCGTCTGATCCAGCTCGTCCTGCGTCACCAGGTAGCCGCGGTCGTGGCACAGCTGGGGGAAAAAGCACCGCATGAGGGGAGGAGGGCTGAGACCGGGCCGCACCGCGCCGCCCCGCGCCGCCCCGCACCTGCATGATGGTTTTGCGGATCTTCCACAGCCGGTACGTCTCCTCCTCGTCGTCCATGCTGCCCCGCAGGACCCCGGGCTGCCCGCCGCAATGCCGGTCCCGAGGAGCAGGCGGGGCTGCCCCGCGCGGGGTCCTTCGCCGCACGGAATGCCGGGAGCTGTAGGCGGGGGGAGGGGGGAGGAATGGCGCAAGGACGCCGTCCCCGCCCCCACGCGGATTCTGCGGCCGTTTCGCCAATTTGATTGGACAACTCTCCCGTCTGTCAGCCGAGGGAGCCTATCGCTTCGCGCAGTGATTAGAGGCGTTACAGCGGGAGGGCGGTGCCTCCGCGCGTCCGAGCCGCCGATTGGTCGAGGGGCCGGGCGGTGGCGGGATGGGTTGGGGTTGGCGCTGCGGACGGGCGCTGCTGTGCGGGGCGGCGGCGGTGCGGAGCGCGGAGCGGAGGATGGTGAGCGCGGGGAAGGCGGGCCGGGCCGGGGGAGGGCTGCGATGGGCCGGGGGAGGGCTGCGATGGGCCGGGTCGGACTGCGGGATGGAAGCGGCCGGGACCGCGTGGTGATTTGACCGCTGACCCCGCAGTGCGCGCAGGCGGACGAATGGCGCTCGGCCACCTCCATGTACGACTTCCACGCGAGGGACATCGACGGGCACGACGTGGCCTTGGAGCGGTACAGGTATGCGGGGCGGGGCGGGGCGGGCAGCGCTGTGCCGCGGCTCAGTGCTCGATGCGGCTGCACGGACACACAGACACGCAGACAAACAGACACTCCCCCCCCCCCCCCCCCCCCCCCGCTTCGCCCACCCCCATCCCCGCAGGGGCTTCGTCTGCATCGTCACCAACGTGGCGTCCAAATGAGGCAAGACCGCGGTGAACTACACTCAGCTCGTCGATCTGCACGCTCGATACGCTGAGAAGGGTTTACGCATCCTGGCTTTTCCCTGCAACCAATTCGGGAAGCAGGTGGGGCACCGCGGACCGGGGGGGGGGGGGGGGGGGGGGGGGGGGGGCCCCCC